CCAAAATTAAACTTTGTTTGATTTCATCAAAAATTGAATTATTGGGGTTCTTTGATATGCCGAATCTAACCGTGTATTTAGATTCTTAATTTTTGGTTCCATTTTCAAATTGGTCTACATTAAGGTCCAAAGGGTCCAAAATTAAACTTAGTTTGATTTTAACAAAAATTGAATTCTTAGGGTTCTTTGATATGCTGAATCTTAACATGTATTTAGATTTTTTATTATGGGCCCAGTTTTCAAGTTGGTCCAAATTGGGGTCCAAAATTAAACTTTGTTTGATTTCAACAAAAATTGAATATATGGGGTTGTTTGATATGCTGAATCTAACCATGTATTTAGATTTTTGATTTTTGGGCCCCGTTATCAACTTTGTCCACATTGAGGTCAAAAGGGTCCAAAATTAAACTTTGTTTGATTTCATCAAAAATTGAATTCTTGGGGTTCTTTGATATGCTGAATCTAACCATGTATTTAGATTTTGGATATTGGACCATAATAGGTGAATGTCCAATTTAAATTTTTTAAGTTCTTAGACCACATTCATTCTGTGTCAGAAACCTATGCTGTGTCAAATATTTAATCACAATCCAAATGCAAAGCTGTATCAAGCTTGAATGTTGTGTCCATACTTGCCCCAACTGTTCAGGGTTCGACCTCTGCGGTCGTATCAAGCTGCGCCCTGCGAAGCATTTTATTATTGTTGTAAAGATGTTAAGGGCTATTTGGACATGCTTAAAAGGAGTGGATAATAACTATTCTGCAAAAATGATTTGGCTTTAGTTGGGAGAATTTTGTAACTGCATCCACTTACAGTAAAAGTTGTCAATTTTATTTCTTGTCAGTGGTATATATGAAATTAAAAAAAAAATGTGGTATGATTGCTAATGAGAACAAATGACATAGAAGTAAAGCTATAGGTCTTCATACGCCATATGGCCTTCAACAATGAGCAAGACCTATACTCATATATATTCAGCCATAAAAGGCCCCAAAATAAGAAAATGAAAAAATATGAAAACTAACAGCCTGATTTATGTATGTATGTATTGTGGTTTTCAGATCTAGACTCGCAGCTAACCTTTCTGTCAGTGTCAACAACAACTGAACTTTCACAGCAGTCAACATCAGATTGGGAGACTGATAATGCTTCTAACAGAAACAATTTCAACCAACCAAACAAGCAACAGAAACTTTCCAACTTTAAAACATCAGTTAAAACTTCCATGGGATGATGTCTCAAAAAACAGTTCATCATTTATGGAGATTTTAATGTTATGGTTTTTCTTTTACAAGAAAGTTAATGTACACTTGTTTTATAGTAAAACCTATAGCCGTTCAAGTATAAAAAAAACACATTCAACTTTATTGAAATTTGAAGATTGATATGACTTATTTTAATTCTGTTATCTCCGAGGATGTGATGTAGAGCATTATAGGTAAAGTAATCTTAACAGCTATCCAATTTCATTCAAAATTCTTTATAAATTTTGCACTGGTATATATAGACTAAGTAATTTGTTTTTCGTCTAGTTATGGGATTTTTTTTTAGAAGCATTTATGATTTTCATGTTTGTATTGACCACATTGCAGCAACATAGATATAGGTACCTGGCAAATCTTGCCTTGTTGGCATACTAGGCTCAAAGGGTCATAAAAAAATTTCCATCACTAAGTGTTTGTTAAAATCATCTGTTTACAGTTTTCACTTTTAAACCATCATCTTAATAACTTTAGAAAAAGTGTCATACATATATATATGTATACAAAATTTAAAAACTTTTCAATATATATATATATATTGATAAAAACTATCAACATGACAAGATCTAAATATCCAAAATTTTTCTGAAAAATTGAACATAACATCTATGAGCTATTGTCCCTGAAATGTGTAAATTTACAAATTTTCACAGTTTTCTGCTACTATCCGACAACTATATCAATATATTATAAGAATAAATTGCAAAAGTGGTCAGAACAGTCTGAACTTATTCTGAATTGTTTAACTTCTAATTTAAATTGATTGCGTTTGAAATATGTGTTTTTTATCGTTTTAGGTGCACAATTTGTCAATACGATCTATTTCGGCTCCTGGGAGCCTCTAGATTTATAATGAATAATTTGTATTTAAGTATGATTATTTTCTTAATGTTTTAAATGAAACATTAATTATTCTTTTCCATTTGTTGTTATACTTATTTATAAGTCCAGATCCTATCATATGTCAGTAGTTACAAATTAGACGGCAAAATTGAGAAAAATTTGAATATGTAGGTTACCCCATTTTGGTGTGGCATATACCAGACACCAACATTATTTGCCGAGCTTGATATTTTTTTTGATTGGGTATATATAGTTATACTTTGCAAGTAGATATGTTGTTTTACAATAATAAACGGGTCTTGGAGTATTTTGGATCTGAAAGATGACCAAAATCAGCCATTTTGGACATGTAGCTAAATAAGACATATTGAAACAGTTAGATTATACATACACTAAATAGACAGCATTGTTAATTCTATGCATTCTTACACTTAAAGTGATGTACTACTAGGAACAACTATCAAAAAATTATAAATGTTACCATATTTTTTTATTTAAACCAGCCAAATATGCCAAAAAAGGCTTATTTTTGCTGTTTTCGAGCAATTTCATCTGTTAAAACATGGCGCTCAAAAAATATCCAGATCGGTTCAATATTTTCCCAAAAAAATTTGTGTGGTTATTTACATTACTAAGGTGCACCAATATGCCAAATATGAACTCATTTGGAAAAAGTGACATTCGGACGGTTTTGCATGGTTTTCTGGCAGATTGGCTCTTAATAGTAATAATTCAAATCTTAGTCTTTCCTGTAATTTCTCTATATACTGTAATAGGGTTAAAGCGATTATACTATAGATACTCCTCTTTACAGCTTCTGAAGAAAAATGAAATACTGATGAAATTTATACTTAAACGTGTTTTATAACTTTCCACATGTGGAGCAGGATCTTCTTACACTGCCGGTGCACCTGATGTCACCCCTTTTTTTGTGGGGTTTGTATTGCTAATTCTTTAGTTGTTAATGTTGTGTTTTGCAAAAAAATGTTTGTCTGTTTTCCTTTTTCGCCATGGCGTTGTAAGTTATTTTCTACTTACGAATTTGATTGTCAATCTGTATCTTTGTAACATGGAAGTAATTAGGACCCCCTCTAAATCAACTTATGGGACCAAAAGCCGCACCGTTATTCATACATAGATCATAACAATACAGAATATTTGCAATACCAATACAAATTTCCGATAGCAGGATTTTGAAATACGTGACAACTTTTTCATAAAAGTAGAAAATTTATAACGAGGCCTTTGGATTATACTATCAATATAGGCAATATTTTTTCTATAGCATCCTATGAAAAAAAGAGGGTGTTAATGAATTTCACTACATAAGTGTTCTTCAACGGTCTGTCGACAATGTCTTCTAATCATACAACTCTTATACTTTTCTCTCATATGAAAAAGGGAGAAGATTCAAAGAGGGCTTTCAAACAGACAACAAACATACAAAGACAAACACCATAAACTTGCTAAGGACAAACATCACTAACATAATTAACAGTTAAAATCATATAAAAACTATTCATTAATAACTTAATCCCTGATATGAATCGGGTAGATCTGAGGAACGCTGATGGGCAACAAGTTACTGCTTTACATGTGGTACCTACAGGGTCGCAAAAGAAATTAAACATCTGGTCATAATCTGTTTCTGTTATGTCACTTTTTTTAAGACGATGCATTTATTTCTAGTAATGAATCATAGTCATATATACACTCATGATAGATACCAGGATTAAATTTTATATTTACGCCAGACGCGCGTTTCGTTTGTAACGTTCATTTTGATTGGATAACGTCACTAATTTTCATGGTTGATGCTATGAAAACATACGCGCAAGCGCAGACGAGGTATGACAGAAATTTAAATGCATGATTTGACGTGGTTTTCTGTCAGTTACATTAGAATGGAGATAACAATATTGTATTTTAAGCTCAGACGGCATCAATTGGTGATTTGATGGTAGCAGATACCCGTTAACTGGCTACATGTCACCAGTTATCTTGATTTGCGATCGATCATCAAATCATCAATTGATGCCGTCGAAGCTTAAAATACAATAGTTATCTCCTAAATGATAAACTTCGACTTACTGTATATGACGTACAGGGCCAAAAGTTCAAACAAATATTATGATCATTTCGAAACTAGGGTACTTCATACATCTCTTAGTTCCATATATTGTATTTGAAGTCTATAGATATAGAAAGATGTGGTATGAATGCCAATGAGACAACTCTCCATCCAAGTAACAATTTATAAAAGTATACCATTATAAGTCAAGGTACGGCCTTTAACACGGAGCCTTGGCTCACACCGAACAACAAGCTATAAAGGGCCCCAAAAATTACTTATGTAAAACCATGCAAACGGGAAAAATAACGGTCTAATCTATATAAAAACGAGAAACACTTATGAAACACATAAACAGAAACTCAGATTCCTGACTTAGGACTTATACCTTTATCAAATACCCCCGTCAGAAGTTGTGGTTTTCACAAAATTTAAGCAAACGAGGTATGAATCTTTGGTGTTGATAGATGTTAAAAAATTATAAGATAAATATATGGTCATGAAAATGTGCTATCAGCAAGCAGAAGCACGATATTTAAATTTTCAATCGTTCATGCCTTAGATGAAAAAAATCGTAATGTCTTGCTAAAACGATATGTTTAATTTTTGTTATAGGGAAGAGAGCTTTATGTTATGTAGATGATATTACTGTACTGTTAAGTTCAGTCTTATGACACATAAACAAGAAAACACGTTTTTCAGTTTCGTTTTTGTGTCTGTTTGTTTGTTTTAATTTTCTGATTATCCATATTTTACTTTATTTTATTCACAGTTGACATGTTTTTCATGTTACAACAGTTGCAACGAATACTTTTTTTTGCAGTAAATGCGGCAACAAATGCAGGACTACAGACTTTTATTAATACTGATGGTGAATGTTTAGTCCTTTTCATGTTACAACAGTTGCAACTAATACACTTTTTTGCAGTAAATGCGGCAACAAATGCAGGACTACAGACTTTTATTAATACTGATAGTGCATGTTTAGGAATGAGTCCTATCTTTGTTGGGTCTCTGATTTGGTACTGGAGACCAAGAACTTGTTCTGTTACTGCGTCATTCGTTTGCGAATATCCAAGAGTGAGTTTGACTCATATTTTTATTATAGGACTTAAACATTCTCTTTTCTCGTTGGCAAAAACATGTCTTCTTTAATAAAAGATTATACTCACCGCGGAAAACATCATGATAGGTTATTATCAGATTTAGAACATCTAACGTGTAACAAAAATAAAATTCCCTAGGTAAGGTCAATAACGTAGGCTCATGACGTCATGCACATTTTTTATTTTTGTCTCATTTTTGTCGATGTCAATTTTAAGACATTCTATTATATATTTTCAACTTTTGAAACAGATAATATATAAAATAGAAAAGGTGTAGTTACATATCTTGAGCAAATACTAGAAATTGGAGCGTATTATAAACTAAAACAATTGTTATCCTCGGTGAATGCCATATATCTGGAGTTTATAAAAATCGCTGTATCGATCCAATCAAAAGTAACTTATCAAAATGAATATTTTTTTCATATCATAAAGTTATATATTCTTGTTTTTAATGTTCTGAGAAAATATTATCCAAGGTTCAGAAAGTCGTACAACATTTTGGGGTTCTATTACAGAGTTTTCTTATTGATATGACTCGTGTGACGATTTATACATGTACAAATACGTCATTATCAAATACTGAGGAATACGCTTCAGTGGATGCATGTTTGAATTTCAAAATACTGTGGATTCACTTACTTTTTGTGGGTTCCAATTTTCTTGGATCAAGGAACACTTTTCGTGGATATCTGAATTCGTGGTTTGGCCAAGTCCGCAAAAAAACCAAGAGAACATGTGCTTTTCATTGAACCTTTAACTACGTGGTTCATCTGTACCAACGAAAGTTACGAAAATAGGTATGCATGGGTACATTGTTTTTTTGTAGAATTGATGACAACTTGGAATTATCGTGCATATTTGATTTCGTAGTTTTGACGTATTCTGTTTGCGTTTTTATGGATATTTTCGTAATCCGTTGAACATTTAAATTCATGGTTTCCCTGTGCAAGTAAAATCTACGAAAATTGGTATCCAATGCATAATAATGAATCCACAATCCGTAAGATTAAATAAAATGTATATTCTAATTAATAACTAGATGAAATTACACGAATACGTACATGTATATTAGAAAAATACTTTGAAAGTTGCCAAACATTTAACATTATCGACGATACTATTAATTTCAAAAGTAGTTTATCCTTATAACATATGTAAACAATAATTGATTTAATAGATAATTGGAATCATCCATTTTCCTTGTATATCACCTTCTCATGTATTTGAATATGTCTCATTAATATAGTCTTTTCGTTCATTTTATGTAGAAATTATGTGTTTTTTTCGAACATTTTTTTTATTCAAATAATTGTAATTCTTTCCTGATTATCAAAATATGTGGTGGCTCTTTAAAATGTCATTGGATGACAATACTCTTTTAAACTATGTAGATACTTGACTGTAACTAAGGACAAACCGAAATGATAACATCTTCTATTTATCAAATTTAAACATTTTGACAAATGGAAAGTCCTTAATTAAAAGTCTAAATAAAAAGATAAAACATATCAAACGAATGAAGACAAATGTTATATTCCTGATTTCGAACAAGCATGTAGAAAATGGTTGATTAAACCTAGTTTTATTGCTAGCTAAACGTTTCACTTGTATGAAAGTCGTATTTCAGCGTCTGGTGCATAAATTCGGTGCCGAGACTTATACCGCGACATTTTAAAATTGTAAAAAAACCTTTTGTGGAATATTCGGTGAAGATTTTTTTTTGTTTTATTTAATTTTATTAATTGTTTGTAGAATATATGGACTAACAATTAATATGTTGTGTATTTTCAGAAGATTTGTCCTTAGATATAATGTACCCTGCCACCGAAGTGCTTCACAAAAAGACGATTGTTTGGTTCATTAAAATCTTTAAACTGACTTATCTATTTCAGCCTGTTTCTGTAATTAATAACTGATATTCTATAAGTCTCCCTCAAACTAACGTTACGTCTGTAAAGCTTTCAACGAAATATACATCAGATCCGATACATATAAACTGAATATAAACATATTAAAATGTATATATTATACATTGTTTTTAATTTACATTTTATCTTCATATGTGCATCTGTGTAGATGTAAAATAACTTAAGATACATACTAGCTGTGTATATAAATCTTTACAGATATACAGTCTGATGTATAGTTTATATGCATTTCGATCGAAGAACTTTTTTGTACTGTTTTTCAGATAGTATAAATAAGAAGATGTGGTATGAGTGTCAATGAGACAACTCTCAATCCAATACAAAATTTGTAAAAGTTAACCGTTATATGCAATGTAATACATCTCAATAAAGATTGCTTGTACTTGAGCAGTTTTGAAATGGATATTTTATTGGTGTCTCTTGGTTTCTATCCTCTCGAATGTTTTTTTCTCATTTGAGTCTAGTTATGTTTTTAATAATATTAGCAGGTCTTTCTATTTGTCCATGATATAGAACAGGATGTTTTTTGGCTTTTGAATCTGTGTAATCTTAACCGAATGCTTTTCTTTTTATTGTAACCTCTCAGAATACCGTTTTTGTGTGATTGATCTTCTTAAACATAACTGATTTATATTTTCAAATTGCTCTTACATCCTCAGGATTTCGAAAAAAAATGTAACCAAAGTAATCAGTAGATACCATATGAGAGTTCTTTTCTCTTATGTTTTTGATACGAGCAGTAAATGATTATAACTCGTAAACCTTAACTGAAGCATAACTTGATCTTTTCAATTTGAGGTTAATGATCCAGAAAATAGATAATGAGGTCAAGGTGTTTCTAATTATGACTTTAACTTCATATGCTTCTTTTTTTAAACAGACTACAAGTATATATGAATATACATGTATATATTGATATTAAATGACTGAATAATAGCCAATGATAAATCTTACGGGGCGATGGATTATTTAATAATGATATATTACACTACAAAATATAATATGTGACAAGATTAAAAGGGCACAACATCACCACAAAATAATGATAATATGAACAAATGTAAAATATTTCGGAAAACAGATATCCTTCATCAGTATGAATATGAAGTAAAATGAATCATATCAATCTTGAAATTTTTACAATAAAACAGCTAAAACCGATCATCATAGTTTAGACACTTGTACAATTCTAAAATTTAAAGCATGACGAAGGTTATATAGTTTTTTACAACAGAGACTGCAAAGATATGCTTTAAATAAAAACAGTAATGTGCGATATGAACTGATACAACTCTAAAATTTCAAAGATGACGACAATTAAGGCGTTACAACAACGATTGCTTGGAAATACATTCCCAATAAACAGCACTGATTAAAGCTGGTATAATATTTCAAATTTGTAATTTAATTTTGACTAAGGTTAAATAATTCGATTACTTTTCGTTTGTTCCTTAACATGTTAAGGCCTGTTCCCAAGTTTTAAACAAGGGATGTGGGCTCTTAATTCCTTTTTCTTTTGTTCATTGGAGACTCAGTCCCCTGTGTTGAAACACAGAGCCATTATATCAAATCTTTTTTTGTCTGAATCTAGAGGCATATTACCATTCTTTTTAATTTTCAGCAAAAGGTCTAGGCCCTCAATTCCTTTCTGCTGGTTACTTGAGGATCGGTTTCACGTGTTAAAACAGTCAGAAGTAAAATCACAAAAACTTGACTTCGAGGAAAATTCAAAACGGAAAGTACATAATCAAATGGCAAAATTAAAAGCTCAAACACATCAAAGGAATGGATGTTTCTAACTTGGTACAGGCATTTTCTTATGTTTGTAGGAATTTGGCATGTTCTTATGTCGATAATGGTGAATTGAACCTTGGTTTAAAGCGCTTAACCTTTTACTTATATGACAGTCGCATCACATTCCATCATATGGACAACGATATGTGAACAAAACAAACAAAATCGATACACTACACTTCAAAACATAATATATGACAAGATTAAAAGGGTACAACATCACCACAAAATAATAATAATATGAACAAATGTTAAATATTTCGGAAAACAGATATCCTTCATCTGTATGATTATGATGTAAAATGAGTTGTGTGTCGGATTACACAGGTTGCACTGTACATGTATGTTTGAAAGGTTTTGTTCTTGTTTTTATGGTTCGTTTGTTAACTTTTTCGTGAAAACGGTTTTGATACAATAACCAAAAGGTAACGAATGAAATGATTGAATGGTGTATATTTGTGGTTTTGTCAACTTCGTTTAATCTTAAATATTGTGTTGTATCTTGACTGATGGTTAATTTATATATCATTTGTCTGTATTTCAATTACGTTAAGGGATATATCAACTACATGTTTGTTATGGATTGATTTTATGATATACATTGTACATGTATGTTTGAAAGGTTTTATTCTTGTTTTTATGGTTCGTTTGTTAGATTTTTTGTGAACACGGTTTTGATACAATAACCAAAAGGTGAAATGAATTTGATACTTTGAATGACTGTAACATGTGTAAGGTGTATATCTGTCTGACTGGTTACGTTTTACAGTGACCCCATCTTCATGGAGTGTTTTGCATTGTTAATTTTGATGGTGAGGTGCGTTTCCTATATACCTTTAGCATATTCTTACAATGTTGTGGTGTGTATAAGGGTTCTCAGGAATACATGCATGTCTGGCTAAAAGTAAAATCACAAAAATTTGAAATCCGAGGAAAATTTAACAAGGAAAGTCTCTAATCAAATGGCAAAATCGAAAGCTGAAACACAATAAACGAATGGATAACAACTGTCCTATTCCTGACTTGGTACAGACATTATCTTATGTAGAAAATGGTGGATTAAACCTGGTTTTATAGCTAGCTAAACCTCTCACTTGTATTACAGTTGCATCAAATTCCATTACTGTAGATTCATTTATTTTCGTGGGCACCAATTTTCGTGGATTGAGAAAACTACTGTAAATTCAAAAATTATTGCGGGCATTTATTATTGCGATTTTGTCATTTTAGACTTTAATGCGATTTTAATTTTTAAGATTTTGAGAAAAATCCTGTTTCATATAAAATATTTTAAAATGCGAGTTTAAATTATTGCGTTAACAACTTTGTCGCATTTGTCCCAAAAATAAAAACCTCGCAATAATTTCTGAAATTACAGTATCATGTTCGTTGACATTAATGTTCGTGGTTTTGACGAAGACTACATAAGAGCCTATACAAAATTTGTCATTCGTTGAACTTTTAATTTCGTGTTTCACCTAAACCCACGAAATCCACGAAAATTGGTATCCAACGAATAATAATGAATTCACAGTATATTGAAAACGATGTGTGAACAAAACAAACAGACTTTAATAGGAAAACACATCAAAAATAGGGGTACAGCAGTCAACATTGTGTTATAATCTTAATCACTACAAAAACAAACAAATATGTAAAGAAGAATTGTTAATTTATAAATCATTTTGTCTTTATCTCCGATACGTTAAGGGATATGACAACTACATGTATTTTATGGAATGATTTTATGATATGCATGTATGTTTGAAAGGTTTTATTCTTGTTTTTAAAGTTCATTTGTTAATTTTTTGTGAAAACGGTTTTGATACAATAATCAAAAGGTAATTATATTTGATACTTTGAATGACTGTAAGGTGTATATCTGTCTGACATGCTACGTGTTACAGTGACTCCATCTGTACGGAGTGTTTTGCATTGTTAATTTTGATAATGAGGTGCGTTTCCAATATACTTTAAGCATATTCTTACAACTTTGTGGTGTGCATAAGGGTTCTCAGATAAACATGCATGTCTGGCAAGGTTCATCTGTCCTTGATCTTTTTTTGTAGTTCATGAATACAGTCTTTTTTGAGACAAAAACGTTAAACCTTTTACTGAAAAAGGTGTGCCTGGTTAGAAAAATCAATACCTGACTACCTGAGGTTATTGAACATACTGTATTATTCAAGTCGCACGGATTTCTTCAAAAATTTGAAACCCATAAATGATTTTTTTAAGGATTTTTGTTCATGAAACAATTCCTTTAATTCATACCCAATTTTAAATCATCAAACAAATGTTGCACCTTCATATTGTCAAGACTAAGCAATGACAATCTGAATCAGGCTATACGAATAGTGCATGCAGGAATGTGTGAATGTGCTGTTTTCAGACGATTTTACATCAGAAACTCGTCCTTACAACAACGGTACAGACAGACATAGAATTTTTGAAGACCTTTTATGACCAGATCAATATCTTGTGAAAACGCAACGTCAATACAAAAAAAAAAAAAAATGTGCCACGTCATTTTAACGACCGCAACATAAACTGCTCATCAAGTCAAGAATGCAATGGCAGACAGTTTAATGTCAAAAATGATTCCCGTATACTAAAAGGCAAAAGAATCGACTTCACTAAAACATTTCAAGCAATAAAATTTCAACACCTTAACGGCTAAAACACACTGTAATGCATGGGACAGAGGCAAACTCATAATGTACCAAAAAAAACGGAAAACATACCCAAAAGAATTAGTTGACGTTTCTGACAATCTTTTTGGCGCTGGTTGCAGGCAGTCATTGCATTCGACGGTGACACACCCATTGATAAGGGGAAAACCAATGCATACCACATGATTTGAACTTAAAAAATGACGTTATCAGTTCAGTTTTTAAACTCCAAACTTTTTCCAGGCAATTACGACATAATTAAAGTTTATTTATTTACATTTAGTTTACAAACATTACCTTTTTGAAAATGGGAATAAAATAGAATTATCTAGTGTTGCGTTTATAAAGTCCATCAGTATATATTTATTCGTCCAGTGTTTGTTCACTTGTGTTAATATGTCTTTTGATTGAGTAAAGCCATTTCAACGGTTATTCTATAGTGTTTTTATATGTTGTGATATTACACTATTGTTTCGGTACGGGT